TTGACGAAATCTAAATCGAACATTCAATTACGATTTATTTATTGATTGAAAATAGTTTCATTGTCAGTGGTCCGTATTCTTTTCTCTTAATTAATATTTAGAGACGTTCGTTATTTTTTTTTTTTTCTCTTTGATATATGCTTTTATCGTAATTCTTTTCTCACTCATTGTAATCAAAATTTTAGAAACCGACTGGCTTAACAAAAGGGAAATCATACGGCCCAATATGTTTGTAAATTATTATATTATGTAGTTAGTTATAATCAGTCACACATGTAACACACTACCACCAACAATGAAATTTACTAATGATTTCGATTATTTTCCACGCTTAGTTGCCTGAATCCGAATGAATTATTTCGAAATCTCGAATCGTAATCGGTTCGTGTACTCGTGCGCAATCGAAACGAAAAACGAAACGAATAATCGAATAAACGAATGATTTCTAAACGATAATCGAATGATCGATTATTCGGGTATAATCGAGATATCTCGATTATATCATTCGTAATCGCCCAACACTATGGAAAACCTTGATCCAAAATTTCCAAAATGTCCAAATCATCTTCAAAAATGTCATAATCTCTTGGATTCATTTGTTGTATTAAATAAAATCACGTTCTTTGGGAGAAACATAAGATACTTATGATACACACTCTGTTTACCAGTCGTTGTTTACAAAAACGGCTTCTGTTTGACATTTGGGCGGGGAGACAAATAAAAGGAACATGCGCAAATCTACACTTAACGTTTTAAGCCTAGAAATTTGCAGGCTTAAATTTAACTCTGGAAAATCCGCTTTAAGTCTCAATCCATCAACGGTGCAACTGAAATCTACAAATTTAGGCCAAACTTAAAGTTAAGCTTGGCTTAGTACATGCAGTGCAACCGGCCATAAATATAACAAAAAAATCCACCAAAATCCTAAATTTTTTAAAGATTTTGAAGAATCTAAAGATCTCAGACAGTTTAAATCTAAAGTGTCCAAAATATTTAATGATTCTAAAAACTTTAGATATTCTAAAGACCTGAAAAATTCCAGAAATTAAAGATTAGAGAAATCCCAAATTGCTAATAACTAAAATTCTAAATATGAGAAAGATAAAAAATCCTAAAAATTTTAAAGACTCTGGAACTTCTAAATTAAACTAATATTGTAAACTGAAATTCTAACATTCTAAATATAAGAAAAATCCAACAAAATCCTAAATTTTTTAAAGATTTTGAAGAATCGAAAGATCTTAGAAAGTTTAAATCTAAAGTGTCCAAAATCTTTAATGATTCTAAAGACTTTGGATATTCCAAAGACTTGAAAAAAAATCCTAAAAATTTTAAAGATTCTGGAAATTCTAAACTAAACTAATATTTCTAAAATGTCTAAAATCTGCAATGATTCTAAAGACTCCAGACATTCTAAAGACCTTAAAGATCCTAGAAATTAGGAAGATTAGAGAAAATCCAAACTGTAAATAAACTGAAATTCTAACATTCTAAATATAAGAACAATCCAACAAAATCCTAAATTTTTTAAAGATTTTGAAGAATCTAGAGATCTTAGAAGGTTTAAATCTAAAGTGTCCAAAATCTTTAATGATGCTAAAGACTTTCGATATTCTAAAGACCTGAAAAATTCCAGAAATTAAAGATTAGAGAAATCCCAAATTGCTAATAACTAAAATTCTAAATATGAGAAAGATAAAAAATCCTAAAAATTTTAAAGATTCTGGAAATTCTAAACTAAACTAATATTTCAAAAATGTCTAAAAAATTCCAAATTGTAAACAAACTGAAATTCTAAGATTGTAAATATGAAAAAGATCCAATAAAATCCTAAAACTTTTAAAGATTCTGAGAGTTCTAAAGATCCTAGAAATTCTCGAGAGAATATTAAAGATCCTGGAAAATCTAAACTTCTAATAATTCTAAAGGCCGTAAATTAGAAAAATTCAAAATTGTTAATAAACTAAAATTCTAAAATTATAAATATGAGAAAGATAAAAAACCTAAAAATTTTAATGATTCTGATGGTCTTACAAATTTTACAAATTCTAGAGAGCCTTAAAGATCCTGGGAATTCTAAACTTCTAATAATTCTAAAGTGTTCAAAATCTGCAATAATTCTAAAGACTCCAGACATTCTAAAGACCTTAAAGATCATAGAAATTAGAAAGATTAGAGAAGTTCCAAATTGTAAATAAACTGAAATTCTAAGATTCTAAATTTAAGAAAAATCCAACAAAATTCTAAAAATGTTAAAGATCGTAAGTGTTTTGAAGATCCTGGAAATTTTAGACTTCTAATTATTCTAAAGAGTCCACAATGTTCGATGATTCTCAAGATCTTAAAGATTCTATAATTTAAAAGATCTGAGGCATTCAAAATTGTAAATAAACTGAAGTTCTAAGATTCTAAATACAAAAAAGACCGGACAAAATTCTAAAAGAATTAAAAATTCTGAAGGTCCTAAAGATCCTGAAAATTCTAGAGAGTCTTAAAGATCTTGGAAATTCTAAACTTCTAACAATTTAAAAGTCTATCAATTAGAAAAGATTCGAGAAATTCTAAATTGCTAATAACTGAAATTCTAAATATGAAAAAGTACAACAAAATCCTAAACTTTTTAAAGATTCTGAGAGTTCTAAAGTTCTTAAAAATTTTGGAGAACTTTAAATATCCTGAGAATTCTAAACTTCTAATATTTATAAAGTGTTCAAAATCTGCAATGATTCTAACTACTCCAGACATTCTAAAGACCTTAAAGATCTTATAAATTAGAAAGATTAAAATTCCAAATTGTAAACAAACTGAAATTCCAAGATTTTAAATATGGAAAGGATCCAATAAAAGCCTAAAAATGTTAAAGATTCTGAGAGTTCTAAAGATCCTAGAAATTCTAGAGAGCCTTACAGATCCTATAAATTGAGAAGATTAGAGAAACTCCAAATTGTAAATAAACTGAAGTTCTAAGACTCTAAATATAAGAAAGATCCAAAAAACTACTAGAAATTTATAGATCCTGAAGTTCCTAATATCAAACTGAAGTTCTAAGATCCTAAATAGAGGAAAATCCAACAAAATCCTAAAAAAAATTAAAAATCCTGTTGATTCCAAAGATCCTAGAAATTCTAAACTTGTAATAATTCTAAAGCGTCCAGTGATTCTAAAGACCCCAGACATTCCAAAGATCTTAAAGATTCTATAAATTAAAAGATTTGAGGTATTCCAAACTGTAAATAAAGTGAAGTTCTAAGATTCTATACTTAAAAAAGATCCAAAAAAAATCTAAAAGAATTAAAATTCCTGGAAATTCTAGAGAGTCTTAAAGATCTTGGAAATTCTAAACGTCGAATCATTCAAAAGTCTATAAATTAGAAAAGATTAGAGAAATTCTGAATTGCTAATAAATTCTAATTCTAAAATTGTAAATATGAGAACGCACAACAAAATCCTAAAAATGTTAAAGATTCTGAGGGTTCTAAAGATCTTAGAAATTCTAGAGAACTTTAAATATCCTGGGAATTCTAAACCTCTAATATTTCTAAATAATAATAAATAACTCCAGCCATTTTAAAGATCTTCTTCTTCTTAGAGATCTTATAAATTAGAAAGATTAAAAATTCCAAACTGTAAACAAACTGAAATTCTAAGATTCTAAATATGAAAAAGATCCAATAAAATCCTAAAAATTTTAAAGATTCTCCAAGTTCTAAAGATCCTAGAAATTCTAGAGAGCATTAAAGATACTGAAGATTCTAAACTTCTAACAATTCTAAAGTGTCCAAAATCTGCAATGATTCTAAGGACTCCAGACATTCTAAAAAACTTAAGGATCCTAGAAATTAGGAAGAATAAAGAAAATCCAAACTTTAAATAAAGTGAAATTCTAACATTCTAAATATAAGAAAAATCCAACAAAATCCTAAAATTTTTAAAGATTTTGAAGAATCTAAAGATCTTAGAAAGTTTAAACATCTAATAATTCTAAAGTGTCCAAAATATTCAATGATTCTAAAGACTCCAGACATTCTAAAGACCTGAAAAATTCCAGAAATTAGAAAGATTAGAGAAATTCCAAATTGCTAATAACTAAAATTCTAAAAATGAGGAAAGATAAAAAGATCCTAAAAATTTTAAAGATTCTGGAAATTCTAAACTAATATTTCTAAAATTTCTAAAATCTGCAATGATTCTAAGGACTCCAGACATTCTAAAATCCTTAAAGATCCTAGAAATTAGAAAGATCCAATGAAATCCTAAATATCTTCGAAAATCTAAACTTCTAATAATTCTAAAGTTCCAAAATCTCCAAAGATTCTAATATTAAAGATCTTATAAATTAGAAAGATTAGAGAAATTTCAAACTGTAAACAAACTGAAGTTCCAAGATTCGAAATAGAAGAAAAGCCGACAAAATCCAAACAAAATTTAAAGATCCTGATGAATCTAAAAATCCTAGAAATTCTAAGCTCGTAATAATTCTAAAGTGTCGAAAATGTCCAATGATTCTACAAGTCCAGTAGAGATCAATTAGAACGATTAGAAAAATTCTAAATTGTAAAAAACTTCAAAAAAAAGTGCAAAGATTCTAAATACAAGAAAGATCCTGAAGTTTCTAGGAATTCTAAACATTCTAAACAAAATTCTAAAAACTTTAAAGATCCTAAAAGTTCTAGAGAGCCTAAAGATCTTGACACTTTAGAAATTTCTACACATTTTAAAGTTCTCGTAATTCTGAATGTCCAAAAATTGTACAGAGTAAAGGACTCAAAATTTCCAAAAGTTCTAAAATTCTAAAAGTTTCAAATATATTTTAGGAATATCGTGTAGATGGCAAAACGCTACCGAAAATTTGATCATCCCCCCTACGTTTTGATGGCGTCATCTAAAAATTTTGAGGTTAATGATATTCCTTGATTTTTTACTCGAGAAAACACAAACTTTTTGAAAAAAAAATCAAAATTGCATAAGAAATTTGTAAAAATTGAGTGCCGCTTACTAACCCGATCTTCTTCAAGGCCAAATCCGCCACCCCGAAATCCAGCACCCTATACTCCTCCATCTTAACCATCGTCGGCCATGTGGGCAACCTGATCGACACCCACGCGATCTTAATATCCTCGTTCTTGTACTTATTCGTCGTCCGCGTAGCAAAATTCTTAACAGCGTAGAAAACATCACCAGTCCCTTTATTACTAGACTCGGCTTGGTACAGCAGTGCCAACATAAGAAAACTCTTCTCTTTGCGGTCCATTATCGCGCTCGAGTACCCCCGCAAAAATTCCAAGGCCAACTCGATCTCGCTTTCTTGGACCGGGAGTATTATAGTAACCCGAGAATTCTCCGTGACGTAGGGCACCTGGACGAACTCAACCTTCCCCAGAGGTTTACAAACCTCGAACCTCTTCACGACCTCCTTGCCAGTGCTGAGGTCCCGGAACCCCAGGTCCAGGGTGTAGTCCATGCCGCGGCTGAGGTCGAAGGTGCGGTAACCATTGACTAGACGCCGGAATTGGAATTTTCCGGCGTGTTCGGAGCGGTAGCGAAGTTTTACTTCTTCTATAATATACTAAAAATGGCGGATGTTTGTTTGGGGCGCCATCTTGTGCTTACATACTTTACCTCAATATCTTTTAAGTCTGCAGTTGTGTGTGGTTTGACGTTGGTAAAATCGTCAGGGAAGAACATGTGAGTCATGTTAAAGTAAAACTGCTTTGGTACGTCGAATCTGGTGGCCGGTTTGGCCCCAGGACGCGCCCCTGGGGGCCACACTTCGGTCAAATCCTCAGACAACAGATCGCTCTTCTTTTTTATGTTTTCCAGTCTTTGCTAAATTTACAAAATTACTCTCTGTCGCGATAAATAACACGCCCACCCACCTTTAGAAAGTACGCATTGAGCAAAAAAAAATTCTCGCCCTCGAGAATAGGGTGTATAGTTACAGCCTCATTGAACTCTTCTTTTTTAGACAACTCTAGCAGGTGTTGGTTGAGCTCGAAATGTTTGAGCTTGAAAGTATCCACAGTCTGGCCTTGGATTGACTTCTGACACGTCAAACCAATACTGTGGTGGACGCACCTACCAATATTTTCGCTATGGTCTTCAGAGATTGCATTGATGACGCACCAGTCCAAGTGGTCGCGAACCGCTTTCATCACAGTGTTGCTTAAAATAATCCCAGCGTCTACAACTCGCGAATTATTCACAAGCCAATTTTTCAATTAATAATAATTATACCTAAATTACAGTAGGAACCATCGGTAATTGGGGTCCCCAAATACACATCCATGCTTACGCTAATCTTCTTGACTATGTCGTTCAATTTACGTGCGTTTATAAACGTATAATCGTGCGCTAAAAAATAGTAGTCGTAGTCTTGAGCAAAATTATCCCCAATGTATTTCAAAACTTGAAACGGCCGATATTTCGCTCTCGTGTCCGTAAACCCGACTAACCCACTAAGATTAAACTTAGTCTTCAGTTTATACTGAGCGGTAATAAAAAACTTGATTTGATCCACCAATTTCCCTATTGTTTTGTTTAAAGGTACGACTTGAGTATTCACTTTTTCCTCTGAACTAAAAATCCCCACGAACAGCTTCTCTCGTATCCCGAGCTCCGTGGAGTAGTACCGCGGTCGCACCAGCTTGCTTTTTTTCGGAGTGGCGCTGGTTTTCTTCGGGGGGTTCACTTTAGGCACGACCTTGTTTCTCAAGGCTTCGTTTTTTAGAACGGGTTCGTGGATTTGGGGGGCACATAGCGGCTCCAGAGAGTCAGACAAGAGAGACGACACGTACAAACCTATGAGGATCCCCACGAATACGTAGATGTTGTTTGAAACGAACTTTTTGGTGCTTTTGAACATTTTGAGGTTAGGTTGACGAGTGGCTGAAAAGGGGGCACTAGCTAGTTTAGAGGTGGCAAACGACAATCTCTTCAGTGGTGAGTAAATTGGTTAAAACTTAGCAACGTTACGTTAAAAGCTTGTTGTTGAACTTTGGTTTAAACATTTTTAGGTTATGGGTTGTGGTAAAGTAGGGCACTGTTTTGGCGGCCACTGAAAGTAAATAATGACGTTGTTTTTATTTATTGCCAATTTCTTACGCGTTTTTCGTATTTTGGGAATTTATCATGGATTTGCTTTTCGGCATTATTTAAATAATAAAACGAAGTGAAACTTTTTTTTAAGTGACGTATTGTTGGTTGCATAAGCAGCCATTTTATAATCGTCATTTTCTAACAAAAGTTTATTTTCTTAGAATAATAAATCACTCAAAGGCGATTTTTCATCCCGAAATAAACACCACCGGGAAGCTTTCGTCCAGACGGACCATAAATTATTTCTCGATTTTTAAAAATGTCGTGCGCGGCCGGTAACGCAGGCCTCTGCAGCCCAAGATAACTCATTTTCCGCAATTTCCGCCCAATTTCCACAGCGATTGGGCCCGCTGCGCTTTTCTATGCGAGGGGGTACCGTGCACGTCGGCACTCACCCCGGCGGGGGCGTCGTGGGGCGGCTGCCGGTTGTTGCCCCCAGATGGGTGGGGATGACTTAATGATGTCGGCCATGTTGTGTTGAAGTGTTTTGCTCCTGTCAAACCCTGTGGTTTTTCTCTTAAAATAAGGGGAAAAAATGGATGAAACGAAAGTAATTTACCACATAGACGACGAGGAGACGCCGTATTTAGTGAAAATCCCGATATCACCGGAAAAAGTGACCTTAGCTGACTTTAAAAATGTGTTAAATCGTCCCAATTACAAGTTCTTTTTCAAGTCGATGGACGACGATTTCGGGTAATATTCCAGTTGGTGAGGGCTGGGAGGCCCCCGTGGCCCGTTTTTGCGGGTTTTGTGCGGTTTTTTGACGGTTTTATGGGGGCCATTAGCCCGCACCATAAACACATCAATCTTGTTTTGACAGCTTGGATCATTAAAAATTTAACGATTCATTCATTTCCAGAGTTGTCAAAGAGGAAATTATCGACGATAGTGCACATTTGCCGTGTTTTAATGGACGTGTAGTGAGTTGGGTGAGTCTTGGCACGTTTTTTACGAATAGTTTTATTCGTGTGGCAGCTGGTTTCAGCCGACGGATCTAACCAGTCGGATGGGGGCTCCCAGTGCACGGACAGCGTCACGCATCCGTCGGAGCCGAGGCTGCCCCCGCAGGCGCCGGAGTCCATCTGCACGGACACAGAGAGCATTATCAGCTCACGACAGGGCAGACGACATCACAAGTATCCCCCCAGAATTAACGGCCACCTTCCAAGGTACAGAGGCGAAAGAGTCGTTACTAACACAGTTTTCGTTATTAAATCACAGATGAAGATGAAAAATACTTAGCAAAATTTTATATGACGTCATGGGTTTTTTGAGGGGCGGAGTTACAGTTTGGACTTTCTCTAATCTTTCTAATTTATAAGATCTTTAGAATGTCTTAGAGTCTTTAGAATCTTTGGAATTGTTAAAATCTCAAGGATCCCTGGAATTTCTCTCTCCTTGAAGAGTTTTTGGAAACTTTAAGTTTTAGAATATTTGGAATCTTTTCAAAAGGTCGGTAAAAAAAAGATATCTGGGACCTGTGGATTCCCCAGAGTTTTTGAAATTCCTGAAATCCTTCTTTTGGTATCTTTGGAATCCTAAAGTTTTAGAATCTTTATGGTCTTTAAGGTCTTTAGAATGTCTGGAGTCTTTTTGCATGTTTGGAAATTTTCGAATTTTTAGAATCCCTGAATTTTCTAGTCTTTAAAATACAATTTTTAAATTACTAAAATCTGCGGATCTTTGAAATTTTTTTAATTCCGGAAATCCTTCTAGTCCTTGGGAGTTTTTGACATCCTTTGAACCTTAAGTTTAAGAATATTTGGAATCTTTTCAGAAGTTCAGTAAAAATTTTGTAATTTATAGGACCTTTAAAGTCTTTAGAATCTTTGGAAGCTGCGCAAGTTTTTAACTTTTTGAATCTTTGGAACCTTTAGAATCTCAAATGTCTATAATCTTTAGAATTTTTAGATTTTCAGCATTTTTAGGCTCTTCAGTATTTCTAGAATCTTAAATATGTTTTACATTTTTGGGATTTTCAGCATCTTTACAATTTTTAAATTATCTGGAATCTTGTAGAATCTCTGAAATTTTTGAAATTCCTGAAATCCTTATAACCTTTAGAACTGTGGGTATTCTAGGAATCCTAAAGTTTTGGGAATATTTGGGATCTTTAAGGTCTTTAGAATGTCTGGAGTCTTTAGAATCATTGGAGTCTGTAAAAGCTTTGTAACCTTTTGAATCTTTGGAAATTTTCTAATATTTAGAGGTTTCTATAATCTTTACATCTTTTATATTTTCGGCATTTCTAGGCTCTCCAGTATTTCTGGATTTTTAAAGATTTTTTGGTTCTTTGTATTTTTAGCATCTTTACAATTGTTAAAATATCTGGAAACTGTGAATTCTCTGAAATTTTTGTAATTCCTAGGATCCTTGCTTTTGGTGTCTTTGGAATACTGAAGTTTGAGAAAATAAAATTTGGAATCTTTAAGGTCTTTAGAATGTCTGGAGTCTTTGGAATAATTGGAATCTGTGAAAGTTTTGTAACTTTTTGCACCTTTGGAAATTTTTGGAATCTTTAGAATCCCTGAAATTTCTATAATCTTGAAAACTTCTAAATTTTCAGCATTCCTGAGATTTTTATTTTATTTTTTTAGATCTTTGAATTTTTAACACCCTTAAATTATCTTAAATATGTGGAATCTTTGGAATTTTTTAAATTCCTGAAATCCTTGTAGTCCTTGGAGTTGTTGACATGCTTGAAACCTTCAAGTTTTAAAGTATTTGGAATCTTTTTAGAAATTCGGTAAAAATTTTCTAATCTTTCTAATTTATAGGATCTTTAAAATCTCTGAAGTCTTTAGAATCTCTGAAATTTCTATAATCTTGAGAATTTTCAGATTTTCAGCATTGTCAAGGTCTTCACTATTTTTAGAATTTTAAATATTTTTGGGATTTTTTGAGATTTTTAGCATCTTTACAATTTTTAAATTATTTGGAAACTTGTGGAATCTTTGAAATTTTTGAAATCCCTGAATAAGGTTTTAGAACATTTGGGATTTTTTAAGGTCTTTAGAATGTTTGAAGTCTTTAGAACCATTGGGGTCTGTGAAAACTTTGTAACCTTTTGCATCTTTGAAAATTTTGGAATCTTTAGAATCCTTGAGGTTTCTTTAATCTTTACATCTTTTATATTTTCGGCATTTTTTGGATCTTTGAATTTTTAACTTCTTCACAATTTTTTAAATATCTGGAACCTGTGAATTCCCCAAAATTTTTGGAATTCCTGAAATCCTTGCTTTTGGTATCTTTGGAATACTAAAGTTTTAGAATATTTGGGATCTTTAAGGTCTTTAGAATGTCTGGAGTCTTTGGAATAATTGGAGTCTGTGAAAGATTTGTAACTTTTTACATCTTTGGAAATTTTGGAATCTAGAATCCCTGATTTCTATAATCTTTAAAAATTTTAGATTTTCAGCATTCCTGAGATTTTAATTTTATTTTTTTAGATATTTGAATTTTTACATCTTTACAATTTTTAAATTATCTGAAATCTGTGGAATCTTTGGAATTTCTGAAATTCCTAAAAACCTTGTAGTCCTTGGAGTTTTTGACATCCTTGGAACCTTTAAGTTTTAGAATAGTTGGACTTTTCAGGAGTTCGGTAAAATTTCTCAAATCTTTTTAATTTATTGGATCTTCAAGATTTTAGAATTTCTGGAATTTTTGGTACCATTAGAGTCTATGAAAGCTTTGGGAACTTTGGAATCTTTAGAATCCCTGAAATTTGTGTGACCTTTAGAACTTTTAGATTTTCAGCATTTCTAGAATTTTCAAGTTGTTTTGGATCTCTAGCATTTTTACCATTTTTAAAATATCTGGAATCTGGATTCTCCGGAATCTTTGAAATTCCTGAAATCGTTCTAGTCCTTGAGAGTTTTTAGCATCTTTGGAATCCTTATTAAGTTTTAGTGTATTTGGAATAATTTCAGAATTCAGTAAAATTTCTTTAATCTTTCTAATTTATAGGATCTTCAAGATTTTAGAATTTCTGGAATCTTTAGTATCCTTAGACTCTGTGAAAGCTTTGGAAACTTTGGAATCTTTAGAATCCCTGAAATTTGTGTAACCTTTAGAACTTGTTGATTTTCAGCATTTCTAGAATTTTTTCAAGATCTTTGGATCTTTGCCATTTTTACTGTTTTTAAAATATCTAGAATCTGGAATTTCTGGAATTTTTGGTATCATCAGAGTCTATGAAAGCTTTGGGAACTTTGGAATCTTTAGAATCCCTGAAATTTGTATGACCTTTAGAACTTTTAGATTTTCAGCATTTCTAGAATTTTCAAGTTGTTTTGGATCTCTAGAATTTTTACAATTTTTAAAATATCTGGAATCTGGATTCTCCGAAATCTTTGAAATTCCTGAAATCGTTCCAGTCCTTGAGAGTTTTTGGCATTTTTGGAATTCTTATTAAGTTTTAGAATATTTGGAATAATTTCGGAAGTTCAGTAAAATTTCTTTAATCTTTCTAATTTATAGGATCTTTAAGATTTTAGAATTTCTGGAATTTTTTATATCATTAGAGTCTGTGAAAGCTTTGGAAATTTTGGAGTCATTAGAATCCCTGAAATTTGTGTAGCCTTTAGAACTTTTCGATTTTCAGCACTTCTAGAATTTTCAAGATCTCTTTTGGATATTTGGATCGTCAGCATTTTTACAATTTTTAAAATATCTGGTATTTAGGATCTTCGGAATCTTTGAAATTTCTGAAATCGTTCTAGTCCTTGAGAGTTTTTGGCATTTTTGGAATCTTTATTCAGCTTTAGAAATATTTGGAATAATTTCAGAAGTTCGGTAAAATTTCTCTAGTCTTTATAATTTATAGGATCTTTAAGACTTTAGAATTTCTGGAATCTTTGGTATCATTAGAGTCTCTGAAAGCTTTGGAAACTTTGGAGTTTTTTGAATCCCTGAAATTTGTGTAGCCTTTACAACTTTTCGATTTTCAGCATTTCTAGAATTTTCAAGATCTCTTGGATCTTTGGATCGTCAGCATTTTTACAAATTTTAAAATATCTGGTATTCAGAATCCTCGGAATCTTTGAAATTTCTGAAATTTTTCTAGTCCGTGAAAGTTTTTGGCATTTTTGTAATCTTTATTAAGTTTTAGAAATATTTGGAATAATTTCAGAAGTTCGGTAAAATTTTTTTAGTCTTTATAATGTATAGGCTCTTTAAGTTTTTAGAATTTCTGGAATCTTTGGTATCATTTTAGTCTCTGAAAGTTTTGGAAACTTTGGAATCTTTAGAATCCCTGAAATTTATATAACCTTTAGAACTTTTAGTTTTTTCAGCATTTCTAGAATTTTCAAGATGTTTTGGATCTCTAGCATTTTTATAATTTTTAAAATATCTGGAATCTGGATTCTCCGGAATCTTTGAAATTCCGGAAATCGTTCGAGTCCTTGAGAGTTTTTGGCATTTTTGGAATTCTTATTGAGTTTTAGAAATATTTGGAATAATTTCAGAACTCCGGAAAAATTTCTTTAATCTTTCTAATTCATAGGATCTTTAAGGTTCTAGAATTCCTGGAATCTTTGGTATCATTAGAGTCTGTGAAAGTTTTGGAAACTTTGGAATCTTTAGAATCTCTGAAATTTGTATAACCTTTGGAACTTTTATTTTTTCAGCATTTCTAGAATTTTCAAGATGTTTTGGATCTTTAGCATTTTTATAATTTTTAAAATACCTGGAATCTGGATTCTCCGGAATCTTTGAAATTCCGATAATCGTTCGAGTCCTTGAGAATTTTTGGCATTTTTGGAATCCTTATTGAGTTTCAGAAATATTTGGAATAATTTCAGAACATCGGAAAAATTTCTCTAATCTTTCTAATTCATAGGATCTTTAAGATTTTAGAATTTCTAGAATCTTTGGAATTATTAGAGTCTGTGAAAGCTTTGGAAACTTTGGAGTTTTTAGAATCCCTGAAATTTGTGTAGCCTTCAGAACTTTTAGTTTTTTCAGCATTTCTAGAATTTTCAAGTTGTTTTGGATCTCTAGAATTTTTACAATTTTTAAAATATCTGTAATCTGGATTCTCCGGAATCTTTGAAATTCCTGAAATCGTTCTAGCCCTTGAGAGTTTTTGGCATCTTTGGAATCCTTATTAAGTTTATGGATTTTTGGAATAATTTCAGAAGTTCAGTAAAATTAGAATCCCTGAAATTTGTGTAGCCTTTAGAACTTTTCGATTTTCAGCACTTCTAGAATTTTCAGGATCTCTTTTGGATATTTGGATCGTCAGCATTTTTACAATTTTTAAAATATCTGGTATTCAGAATCCTCGGAATCTTTGAAATTTCTGAAATTTTTCTAGTCCGTGAAAGTTTTTGGCATTTTTGTAATCTTTATTAAGTTTTAGAAATATTTGGAATAATTTCAGAAGTTCGGTAAATTTTTTTTAGTCTTTGTAATGTATAGGCTCTTTAAGTTTTTAGAATTTCTGGAATCTTTGGTATCATTTTAGTCTCTGAAAGTTTTGGAAACTTTGGAATCTTTAGAATCCCTGAAATTTGTATAACCTTTAGAACTTTTATTTTTTCAGCATTTCTAGAATTTTCAAGATGTTTTGGATCTTTAGCATTTTTATAATTTTTAAAATACCTGGAATCTGGATTCTCCGGAATCTTTGAAATTCCGATAATCGTTCGAGTCCTTGAGAATTTTTGGCATTTTTGGAATCCTTATTGAGTTTCAGAAATATTTGGAATAATTTCAGAACATCGGAAAAATTTCTCTAATCTTTCTAATTCATAGGATCTTTAAGATTTTAGAATTTCTAGAATCTTTGGAATTATTAGAGTCTGTGAAAGCTTTGGAAACTTTGGAGTTTTTAGAATCCCTGAAATTTGTGTAGCCTTCAGAACTTTTCGATTTTCAGCATTTCTAGAATTTTCAAGATCTTGTGGATCTTTGGATCATCAGCATTTTTACAGTTTCTAAAATATCTGGTATTTAGAATCTTCGGTATCTTTGAAATTTCTGGAATCGTTCTAGTCCTTGAGAGTTTTTGGCATTTTTGGAATCTTCATTAAGTTTTAGAAATATTTGGAATAATTTCAGAAGTTCGGTAAAATTTCTCTAGTCTTTATAATTTATAGGATCTTTAAGATTTTAGAATTTCTGGAATCTTTGGTATCATTAGAGTCTGTGAAAGCTTTGGAAACTTTGGAATCTTTAGAATCCCTGAAATTTGTATAACCTTTAGAACTTTTAGTTTTTTCGGCATTTCTAGAATTTTCAAGATGTTTTGGATCTTTACCATTTTTATAATTTTTAAAATATCTGGTATTTAGGATCTCCGGAATCTTTGAAATTCCCGAAATAGTTCTAGTCCTTGATAGTTTTTGGCATTTTTGGAATCCTCATTGAGTTTTAGAAATATTTGGAATAACTTCAGAAGTTCGGTAAAATTTCTCTAGTCTTTATACTTTACAGGATCTTTTAGATTTTAGAATTTCTGGAATCTTTGGTATCGTTAGAATCTGTGAAAGCTTTCGAAACTTTGGAATCTTTAGAATCCCTGAAATTTGTATAACGTTCAGAACTTTTACTTTTTCAGCATTTATACACTTTTGGATTTTTTGGATCTTTGGATTTTTAGCATTTTTACAATTTTTAAAATATCTGGAATCTTTGTTTTTTCTGGAGTATTTGAATTTCCTGAAATCCTGGTAGTCCTTGAGGGTTTTTGACTTCTTTAGAATCCTTAAATTTTAAAATATTTGGAATCATTTCGAAAGTTCGGTAAAATTTCTCTAATCTTCATGATTTATAATAGGATCTTCAACATTTTTAGAATCTCAGGATTTGTTCAGTATCGTTTCAGATTTTCAAAATTTCTAAATTCTTCAGTATTTCGAGAATTTTAAAGATCTTTTGGGCTTTTGAATTTTTAGCATTTTTACAATTTTTAAAATATCTGGAATATGTGGAATCTCCGGAATTTTTGAAAGGGTTTTTGACATCCTTGGAAAATTTAAGGAAAATTTAGAATATTTGAAATGTTTTCAAAAGTTTGGTAAAATTTCTATTATCTTTCTAATTTATAGGATCTTTAAGGTTTTTAGAATCTCTGGAGTCTTTAGTATCCTTCAAATTTCTGTAAGCTTTGAAAGTTTTAGATTTTCAGAATTTCTAAACTCTTCAGTAATTCTAGAATGTTCAAGATCTTTTGGATCTTTGGATTTTTAGTATTTTGACAGTATGTATTTAAAATCTTGGGATTCCCTGCGAATTTTGAAGTTCCTGAAATCTTTGTAGCTCTTAGAGCTTTTGTTATCCTCGGATTCTAAAATTTTAGAGTATTTGAGATCTTAATTAGTAGGGTCTTTAATTTCTATAATCTTTAGAACTATATATTTTCAGCATTCCTGAAATTTAAAATTTTTTTGGATCTTTGGATTTTTAGCATCCTTACAATTTTTAAATTATCTGAAATCTGTGAAATATCTGGAATTTTTGAAATTTCTGAAATCCTTGTAGTCCTTGGAGTTTTTGGTATCCTTGGAATGTTTAAGTTTTCGAATATTTGGAATTTTTCCAGAAGTTGGAATCATTGGAAGCTATGAAAGCTTTGTAACTTTTTGAATCTTTGGAATCTTGGGATTCCCTGAAATTTTTATAATATTTAGGACTTTTAGTTTTAAATTTTCTGATTTTAAAATCTTTTCAAAATTTTCAGAAACTAGATGTTGCTAAAAAATATCAAAAACTAAAAAAAATAAACCTGTCGTCGAAATTTCAGCGGTGTTGCGGGAACAATAACCCGTCACGATTTTCCTTTCCAGAGTTTATGAGACTGCATCCATAGTCAGTTCCGACTTGGAGACCACAAGCTTTCAATCCGAGACGACCGGCCGCCACACGGCGCTCTCGGAATGCTCGAGCGTGAGCAGACTGCACGTCGCCGGGCGCAAGCGACCCCAGCGCCGGCGGAAACAACGAATGCAGGCGATGTCGAGGACGTCGTCGTACTCGAGCATCACCGACTCGACCATGTCCTTGAACATAATCACGGTGACCCTCAACATGGACACCGTCAACTTCCTCGGGATTTCGATCGTGGGCCAGAGCAATAAGGGGGGCGACGGGGGCATCTACGTGGGCTCGATCATGAAAGGGTGAGCGCCGACCTATCCAAAATCCGACAAACGCTAATCTGTGCCGTAGGGGGGCCGTCGCTCTCGACGGGAGGATAGAGCCGGGGGACATGATTTTGCAAGTCAACGACGTGAATTTCGAGAATATGTCGAACGACGAGGCGGTCCGGGTGCTGCGGGAGGTGGTCCAGAAACCAGGGTGGGTTGATTGGTTGAAATGTTTTGTGGTAGTTTTTAAATTGGTTTTTTCAGACCAATCAAACTTGTAGTTGCCAAATGTTGGGACCCCAATCCCAAGGGCTATTTTACTATTCCTAGAACTGAACCAGTGCGGCCTATAGATCCAGGTTTTGTTTGTAAATGGGTTTTAGGTTTGTTTATTTTTGGTGGTTTGTAGGGGCCTGGGTGGCGCACACGGCGGCGGTCAGGGGCGATCCGGTGGCCCGCCCCCCTAGTAGTTCCACGGTTTCTAGCACTTCTATCACCAGTACAATACCAGCGAACGAACGTAAGTAACTAGTCTAGAGTGCCTTGACGTATTATGTCGTTTTTAAGTGTGTGGCTACGAATGACAGCTTCAATGTCTAAATAATTGAGGTTATGTCATTGCAGCAATCCGTCTAGCTACAATTTGTTGTAATTTGTCATTTTTTGAAGTAAAAACTCAAAGTTATTTTTTTTAATGTTTGTAATTTAATTAATTATTGTAATAATAGCACAAACGATGGATATCGTCTATATAATTTTCTCTCAAAGAAAATAAAGGGCGGGTGGGCGGGGCTAGTACTTACTAAGATAAGACTGATTTAATAAATTTTGATGAAAGAAATTATTACTTTATTTAAAAATATCACTATTGGGACGGGGGGCTAATGGAAACCAATACAAACAGGTGTAATTTTGTCAACAAAAACAAAAACTTAAAAATTGAAGAAAAGAAGAAGAGGAAACTTAAAACATGTTTAAAATAGTAAATTTTTGTAGAAAAAATGAATTTTGCAATTAAACTCCGCCCCTCTATCTGACAACGAATAAAAAGTTCATCACAATTGAGAGGGGCGGGTGGGTGAGGCTTAATTTATTTCCCTCTGTTTCTTAATGTATACCTATTTTCAAGGACACGATATCTAAAACATAATTCTAACCTCAAATTTACTATTTGATATTTTAAGTAATTGTTGAAAGAAGACTAGATAACTAGATATATGTACTAAAAAAATCAAAGGGTAAGCCCCACCCACCCGTCCCATCTCAATTGTGATTAATCTTTTTATTGGTCGTGAAGCGGGAGGGCGGAGCTTAAATACAAAGTTCATATTTCTCAAGAAAATACCACGTTGAACATTTTTTAAGTATCCTGTTGTTGAAAGAAACGTGCACATGATGAGAAAAAAAAAATCAAAAATTAAGCCGCACCCACCCGACCAATCTCGATTAATCAATTTTTGATTTTTCGGCTTCGATTTTTCGAGTTCTTGATTTATATATTTTCCATTTCTTAATTTTTCAGCATTTCAATTTTGGGAATTTATCAATTTCTGGATTTTCCGATATCTTAATTTTTCAAGTTTTGGAATTTCGAGTTTTTGATTTTTCAATTTTTCGATATTTAAAATTCTTGATTTTTCACTTTTTCAATTTTTAATTTTGCAAGTTTTAAAGTTTACTGATTCTCACTTTCTCGTTTTATCCATGTTTTGATTTTCCGTTTTCTCGTTTTCTTGATTTTTCAATGTTTCTATTTTTCGCTTTTCAATTCTTCCATTTTTCAGGTTTTTGATTTTTCAACTTTCCGATTTTTCGACTTTTCAATTTCTCGATTCTTCAGTTTTTGCTCCTTCGATTTCTAAATTTTTCGATTCTTCGATTTTTCGACTTTTCGATTTCCCAATTTTTTTTATTATTAAATTTTTCGTTTTGTTTTGTTTTTTTTATTATTATTTTGGATTCTCGGTGTTTCGACTTTGCGATTTTTCAATTTTTCAGTTGTAGAATTTGTGTAGAAAAATATGGGTTTTGCAATTAAACTCCGCCCCTCTGTCTGACAACGAATAAAACGTTCATCACAATTGAGATTGGGGCGGGCGGGTGGGGCTTAATTATTGCCCTCTTGTTCTTAATGTATACCTATATTCAACGACACGGTATTTGGAACATAATTCTAACCTCAAATTTACTATTTGATATTTCAAGTAATTAATTGTTGAAAAAAGACTAGTAATATGTACTATCCATGTTTTGATTTTCCGTTTTCTTGTTTTTTTGACTTTTCAATGTTTCGATTTTTCGGTTTTTCAATTCTTCAATTTTTGCTTCTTCGATTTTTCGATTTTCCAATGTTTTGATTATTCATTCGGATTTCCCAGTTTTTCGCCATTTCAGCTTTGGAATTTTTCAATTTCTCTTTTTTTCTTCAGTTTTTCGATTCTGCAATTGTTCCGTTTTATTTTGGATTCTCGGTGTTTCGACTTCTCGATTTTTCAATTTTTTAATTGTAGAATTTAAAATTTTTCAATTTTTCGACATTTTAATTTTTCTACTTTTTAAATTTTAGGTTTATCAATTTCTCGATTTCTTGATTTTTTAATTTTTCAGTTCTACATCTTGTTTTTCAATTCTTCTATTTTTTTCTTTAATCTCGTGATTAAAGATCTTGATGTTTCGATTTATTGACATCTCGGTTTTTCGATTTTTGAAATTCTTCGACTTTGATTTCTTAATTTTTCGATCTTTTATTTTGGCAGTTTTTCGATTCTTAAACTTTTCTTCCATTTTTCAAGTTTTCGATATTTCGTTTCGGAATTTTTCAATATTTGAAGTATTTTTATTGTTGAAAGAAATCTATGTATATGTATAAAGAAAATCAAAGGATAAGCCCCACCCACCCGCCCCATCTGAATTGTGATTAATTTTTTTATTGGTCGTTACGCGGGAGGGCGGAGCTTAAATGCAAAGCTCATATTTCTCTACAAGGAAATACCACGTTGAACATGTTTTAAGTATCCTGTTGTTGAAAGAAATCTGCACATGTTAAGAAAAAAAAGTCAAAAATTAAGCCCCACCCACCCGCCCAGTCTCGATGAATCAATTTTTTTTTTCGACTTTGATTTTCCGAATTCTCGATTTTTCATATTTTCCATTTCTTAATTTTTCAGCATTTCAATTTTTCGACTTTTCGAATTTCGAATTTTTGATTTTTCAATTTTTCGATATTTAAAATTCTTGATTTTTCGCTTTTACAATTTTTAATTTTTTGAGTTTTAAAGTTTACTGATTTCTCGTTTTATCCATGTTTTGATTTTCCGTTTTCTTGTTTTCTTGACTTTTCAATGTTTCGATTTTTCGGCTCTTCAATTCTTCCATTTTTCAGGCTTTTGATTTTTCAACTTTCCGATTTTTCGACTTTTCAATTTCTCGATTCTTCGATTTTTGCTTCTTCGATTTCTAAATTTTCCGATTCTTCGATTTCTAAATTTTCCGATTCTTCGATTTTTCGACTTTTCGATTTTCCAGTTTTTCAGTTGTAGAATTTTTGTAGAAAAATATGGATTTTGCAATTAAACTCCGCCCCTCTGTCTGACAACGAATACAAAATTCATCACAATTGAGATAGGGGCGGGTGGGTGGGGCTTAATTTATTGCCCTCTTTTTCTTAATGTATACCTATTTTCTACGACACGATATTTAAAACATAATTCTAACCTCAAATTCACCATTTGATATTTTAAGTAATTAAATGTTGAAGAAAGCCTAGATAACTAGATATATGTAGTAAAAAATCAAAGGATAAGCCCCACCCACCCGCCCAATTTTTTTATTTTTCGACTTAGATTTTTCGAATTCTTGATTTTTCTTATTTTCTACTCAATTTTGAGAATGTTTCAATTTTTAATTTTTCGAGTTTTAAAGTTTACTGGTTTCTCAATTTCTCGTTTTATCCATGTTTTGATTTTTCGTTTTCTTGTTTTTTTGACTTTTCAAAGTTGCGATTTTTCAATTCTTCAATTTTTCAGATTTTTGATTTTTCAACTTTCCGATTTTTCGACTTTCCAATTTCTCGATTCCTCAATTTTTGCTTCTTCGAGCTAAATTTTTCAATTTTTGGATTTCCCAGTATTTCGGCATTTCAGATTTGCAATTTTTCAATTTCCGGTTTTTGTTTTTTCAATTTTTCGATTCTGCAATTTTCCCATTTTGCAATTTTTCGTTTTTTTTTTTTATTTTGGATTCTCGGTGTTTCGACTTTTCGATTTTTCAATTTTTGAATTGGAGAATTTTAGATTTTTCAATTTTACATTATAATTTTTCTTCTTTTTAATTTTTGGGCTTATCGATTTCTTAATTTTTCGATGTTTCAATTTTTGCAATTTTTCGATTCTTAAACTTCTCTTCCATTTTTCAAGTTTTCGATGTTTCGTTTCGGAATTTTTCAATATTTCAAGTATTTTTATTGTTGAAAGAAGTCTATGTATATGTATAAAGAAAATTAAAGGATAAGCCCCGCTCACCCGCCCCATCTCAATTGTGATTAATCTTTTTATTGGTCGTGACGCGGGAGGGCGGAGCTTAAATGCAAAATTCATATTTCTCTACAAGAAAATACCATGTTGAACATGTTTTAAGTAACGTGTTGTTGAAAGAAATCTGCACATGTTAAGAAAAAAAAAAGTCAAAGTTATTTTTGTTTTTCGACTTGGATTTTTCGAATTCTCGATTTTTCATAATTTCCATTTCTTGATTTTTCAGCATTTCAATTTTGGGAATTTATCAATTTCTGGATTTTCCGATGTCTTAATTTTTCAATTTTTCGACTTTTCGAATTTCGGGTTTTTGATTTTTCGATTTTTAAAATTCTTGATTTTTCGCTTTTTCAATTTTTAATTTTGGAGTTTTAAAGTTTACTGATTTCTCAATTTCTCGTTTTATCCATGTTTTGATTTTTCGTTTTCTTGTTTTCTTGACTTTTTGCAATGTTTCGATTTTTCGGTTTTTGAATTTTTCAATTTTTGCTTCTTTGATTTTTGGACTTTTCGATTTTCCAATGTTTTGATTATTCAATTGGATTTCCCAGTTTTTCGCCATTTCAGCTTTGGAATTTTTCAATTTCTCTTTTTTTCTTCAGTTTTTCGATTCTGCAATTTTTCGGTTTTATTTTGGATTCTCGGTGTTTCGACTTCTCGATTTTTCAATTTTTCAATTGTAGAATTTAAAATTTTTCAATTTTTCGACATTTTAATTTTTCTACTTTTTAAATTTTAGGTTTATCGATTTCTCGATTTCTTGATTTTTTAATTTTTCAGTTCTACATCTTGTTTTTCAATTCTTCTATTTTTTTCTTTAATCTCGTGATTAAAGATCTTGATGTTTCGATTTATTGACATCTCGGTTTTTCGATTTTTGAAATTCTTCGACTTTGATTTCTTAATTTTTCGATCTTTCATTTTGGCAATTTTTCGATTCTTAAACTTTTCTTCCATTTTTCAAGTTTTCGATATTTCGTTTCGGAATTTTTCAATATTTGAAGTATTTTTATTGTTGAAAGAAATCTATGTATATGTATAAAGAAAATCAAAGGATAAGCCCCACCCACCCGCCCCATCTGAATTGTGATTAATCTTTTTATTGGTCGTTACGCGGGAGGGCGGAGCTTAAATGCAAAGCTCATATTTCTCTACAAGGAAATACCACGTTGAACATGTTTTAAGTATCCTGTTGTTGAAAGAAATCTGCACATGTTAAGAAAAAAAAGTCAAAAATTAATCCCCACCCACCCACCCAGTTTGGAATCAAATTTTTTGTTTTTCGACTTGGATTTTTCGAATTCTCGATTTTTCATATTTTCCATTTCTTAATTTTTCAGCATTTCAATTTTAGGAATTTTTCAATTGCTGGATTTTCCGATATCTTAATTTTTCGATTTTTAAAATTCTTGATTTTTCAATTTTTCAATTTTTAATTTTTTGAGTTTTAAAGTTTACAGATTTCTGAATTTCTCGTTTTATCCATGTTTTGATTTTCTGTTTTTTGTTTACTTGACTTTTCAATTTTCATGTTTTTGATTTTTCAACTTTTTGACTTCAATTTCTCGATTCTTCAATTTTTGCTTCTTCGATTTCTAAATTTTTCGATTCTTCGATTTTTCGACTTTTTGATTTTCCAATTTTTTTTTATTATTCAATCTTGCAATTTTGCAATTTTTCGACTTTGCGATTTTTCGATTTTTCAGTTGTAGAATTTTTGTAGAAAAATATGGATTTTGCAATTAAACTCCGCCCCTCTGTCTGACAACGAATACAAAATTCATCACAATTGAGATAGGGGCGGGTGGGTGGGGCTTAATTTATTGCCCTATTTTTCTTAATGTATACCTATTTTCAAGGACAAGATATGTAAAACACAATTAAATGTTGAAAGAAGACTAGGTAACTAGATATATGTAGTAAAAAATCAAAGGACAAGCCCCACCCACCCGTGCAGTCTCGATGAACCAATTTTTTTTATTTTTCGACTTAGATTTTTCGAATTCTTGATTTTTCTTATTTTCTACTCAATTTTGAGAATTTTTCAATTTTTAATTTTTCGAATTTTAAAGTTTACTGATTTCTCAATTTCTCGTTTTAACCATGTTTTGATTTTTCGTTTTCTTGTGTTCTTGACTTTTCAAAGTTGCGATTTTTGAATTCTTCAATTTTTCAGGTTTTTGATTTTTCAACTTTCCGATTTTTCGACTTTTCAATTTCTCGATTCCTCAGTTTTTGCTTCTTCGAGCTAAATTTTTCAATTTTTGGATTTCCCAAGTATTTCGGCATTTCAGCTTTGGAATTTTTCAATTTCTCGTTTTTTTTCCAATTTTTCGATTCTGCAATTTTCCCATTTTGCAATTTTTCGTTTTTTTTTTAATTTTGGATTCTCAGTGTTTCGACTTTTCGATTTTTCAATTTTACATTATAAGTTTTCTTCTTTTTAAATTTTGGGCTTATCGATTTCTTGATTTTTTAATTTTTTTGTTCTATATTTGTTTTTCAATTCTTCTATTTTTTTTTAATTCCGCATTTCTCCTATTTTACCATTTCTTGATGTTTCGATTTATTGACATCTCGGTTTTTCGATTTTTAAATTCTTCGACTTTGATTCCTCAATTTTTCGATCTTTCAGTTTTGGTAAAAATTTTTATTCTTAAACTTTTCTTTCACTTTTCAAGTTTTCGATATTTCAGTTTCGGATTTTTTCAAAATTTCGATTCTTTAATTTCTTTATTTTTCGATTTCTCGAATTTTCGAGATTCCGATGTTTCGATTTTTTATTATTCAATTTCTCTCTTTTTATTTATTTATTTTTTTATTTAAAATTTTTCAGTTTTTTAATTTTTAGATTTTTCGGTTTATCGAGAAGACTAGATATATGTACTAAGAAAATCAAAGGATAAGCCCCACCCACCCGCTCCATCTCAATTGTGATTAATCTTTCTTATTTTCTACTCAATTTTGAGATTTTTTCAATTTTTAATTTTTCGAGTTTTAAAGTTTACTGATTTCTCAATTTCTCGTTTTATACATGTTTTTTTTAATTTTTCGTTTCCTTGACTTTTCAAAGTTTCAATTTTTCAGGTTTTTGATTCCCGATTTTTCGACTTTTCAATTTCTCGATTCCTCAATTTTTGCTTCTTCGATTTCTAAATTTTTCGATCAATTTTTCGATTCTGCAATTTTCCTATTTTGCAATTTTTCGTTTTTTTTTTTTTTTGGATTCTCAGTGTTTCGACTTTTCGATTTTTCAATTTTACATTATAATTTTTCTGTTCTATATTTGTTTTTCAATTCTTCTATTTTTTTTTTAATTCCCCAATTCTCGTATTTTACCATTTCTTGATGTTTCGATTTATTGACATCTCGGTTTTTCGATTTTTCAATTCTTGAATAAGCCCCACCCACCCGCCCCATCTCAATTGTGATTAATTTTTTATTCGTCGTGAGGCGCGAGGGCGGAGCTTAAATATAAAGTTCATATTTCTTTACAAGAAAATACCATGTTGAACGTGTTTTAAGTATCATGTTGAAAGAAAACTACACATATTAAGAAAAAAAAGTCAAAAATTAGGCCCCACCCACCCGCCCCGATCTCAATTTTGGTGCATTTTTTATTCGTTATGAGATCGGTGGGCGGAGCTTAACTGCAAAGTCCCTATGTTTGAGAAATGATCATATTGTAGAAAATAGACCATTTTGAGAAAATATCGGGAATGATTTTGATAAAAAAGCTTGTTATTATTCTCGTCGTTAGGCTTTCCAGATCTGGAGGAACCCCTCACCGTCAACACGCCCATGTCCACGGTAGTACAGGCCATGCAGCGGCCCGACAGCGGCCTGGAGATCCGGGACAGGATGTGGCTCAAAATAACGATACCCAACGCCTTCATCGGCACCGACATGATCGACTGGCTCCTGGCGCACGTCGAGGGGTTCCAGGAACGGAGGGACGCCAGGAAGTACGCGTCGCACCTGCTCAAGGCCGGCTTCATAAGGCACACGGTGAACAAGATCACCTTCTCGGAGCAATGCTACTACATCTTCGGGGATCTGTGTTCGGCGATGAGCAATCTGAAGATCCAGGGGGACACCGACTCGGTGGGGCCGCTCCCGAACGTCCCCAACTATATGCCGTACAGCGGGACGTACAACCCTCTGGAGTACATGCCGATGCCGTTTTACACGGCGAGCGAGAACACGGTGTATGGGTATAATCGTGAGGAGTCGGTGTTGAGCGGAAGCGGTGAGTGTTTTTCGTATTATTGTATTCAGCGACATTTATTTTTTTATAATCGTGAGTACTTAGCGAGGACAACAATAAGTACCACTCTATTGTTTTGTTTTAACACAAACGCGTAAACACAGTCGTTACCTTGTAGCATAATCTCGAACTGTGTAAGTTTCCGTTATTTTGTACATAATTACGTATTGTGGGTTGCAGTACTTTCAGGAGTACTGTCTGCAGAGTTACAAATTCCGTGAAATTTTCCGCTAGCAATAAGCCCAGGAATTCAATAAAATGATCGATTTCTCATTGTCCAGAGTTCTTATTAAACACAATAACGCATTACCAAAATCAATCATCGTTAATTTTTTTATATCTGCGTTTGACGAATCAGAACGAAATGCCAAACCACTTTCATTAAATTTTAATTAAAAAAAAACCTATTCAGCGCTTACGAAACGCCGCTTACGTAAGAAACGCAACTGTAACCAATTAAACCATTTCCATTTAAGCCACTACACGAACTAAGTGCAGTGATGCAACCAATTAAATCATTTTCAGTGGATAGTTAAGATATCACGTGTTTACTTAAGTAACAAAAAATTATAGATAATTGAAATCGGTTGTATTTTTCGTCTTCCGTTGCAATATGGAGCGTTATCGTGGTGTGTTCGTGTCACTCGCGATTAATTTATTATTCAGCAGACAGGATTTAAATGTGTGATATACGATGTGATGAATGTTTCAACGTCCTGATTAGGACGAACTTGGGGAATTACTTTGTTCTTGGGTTGGAAGAGCATTACGCACTTGTTAAACATTAACTTTCGCGTGGAGTTTGTTCTGGAATTTCGTGCAAACATTAATCTCACAAAGCAAATATTTTATTATCAAAATTGTTCAAACAGCTCACTGCGCAAAAATCATCCGCACGTGAATGCACAATTATTGCGAAATAGGTTGTGGATTTTAGACCTTCAGCATTTCCTGGGCTGTTTTTTGGTCTATAATTACACTGTTTGGAAGTAAATCCACGTTATAGAGCATTTTATTGCCCAATTAAACCTTGTAATGCGATCTTTTTTTGAAAAAATGCATGCGTCCTTTGTGCAGCCAGCTCGACAAGGAACCGCGCACTCCGCTTCCGCCACGTGTTTCTGTGTTATTTAACCTCAATTCTGTTTAAATGTTCACTTTCTGTGATTCTGATTTTAAACTACAACTGAACAAGTGTTAAAGTTTCAAGAAGAGCAATAAACAACATTTAAATTCGACATACACTCTCGTGAAATTTTATTTAAATTCTCCATCTTTTTATTATTCAGTTTTTGGTTTTTCAATTTTTCAACTTTCGGCCTTTGAATTTTCAATTTTTTTGGTTTTTCAATTTCCCCTTCTTTTCGATTTTCCATTCTTCAATTTTGTCGATTTTACAATCTTTCCAATTTTCAGTTTTTTTCGTCTTTTGTCTTTTTCAGTGGTTCATTGCGTCTTTTTTGGATTTTCAGATTCTCGATTTTTTTCGATATTCCATCTTTTCAATTTTTGGAATTTGCGTTTCTTGAATTTTTCGTCTCTTGAATTTTTCATTTCTTCAGCGTTTCAATTCTCCATCTTTTGTTATTCAGTTTTTGGTTTTTCAATTTCCCCTTTCTTCTTTTCGATTTTGCATTCTTCAATTTTGTCGATTTTACAATCTTTCCATTTTTCAGTTTTTTTCGTCCTTTGTCTTTTTCAGTGGTTCATTGCGCCTTTTTTGGATTTTCAGATTTTCGATTTTTTTTAGATATTCCATCTTTTCAATTTTTGGAATTTGCGTTTCTTGAATTTTTCGTCTCTTGCATTTTTCATTTCTTCAGCGTTTCGATTCTTCATTTTTTCATTATTCAGTTCTTCGTTTCTTCAATTTTTCGATTTTTTGTCTTTTAAATTTTCAATTTTTTCAGTTTTTTAATTTTCCATTTCTTCATTTGGATTTCCATTCTTCAATTTTGTCGATTTTAGAACCTTTCCATTTTTCAGTTTTTTCATCTTCTGACTTTTTCAATGTTTCGTTGCGCCTTTTTTTGATTTTTCAGATTCTCTTTTTTTTAGATTTTTCAGTTTTTCAATTTTTCCAATTTTTGTTTCTTGAATTTTTCGTCTCTTGAATTTTTCATTTCTTCAGCGTTTCAATTCTCCATGTTTTTTTTATGTTTATTAAATTTTTCAACTTTCGGCCTTTGAATTTTCAATTTTTTTGGTTTTTCAATTTCCCCTTTCTTCTTTTCGATTTTGCATTCTTCAATTTTGTCGATTTTACAATCTTTCAATTTTGTCGATTTTACAATCTTTCCATTTTTCAGTTTTTTTCGTCCTTTGTCTTTTTCAGTGGTTGATTGCGCCTTTTTTGGATTGTCAGATTCTCGATTTTTTTTAGATATTCCATCTTTTTTGGAATTTGCGTTTCTTGAATTTTTCGTTTCTTGCATTTTTCATTTCTTCAACGTTTCGATTCTTCATTTTTTCATTATTCAGTTCTTCGTTTCTTCAATTTTTCGATTTTTTCTCTTTTAAATTTTCAATTTTTTCAGTTTTTCAATTTTTCATTTCGATTTCCATTCTTCAATTTTGTCGACTTTAGAATCTTTCCATTTTTCAGTTTTTTCATCTTCTGAGTTTTTCAATGTTTCGTTGCACCTTTTTTTGCTTTTTCAGATTCTCTTTTTCTTAGTTTTTTCTTTTTTTCAATTTTTCCAATTTTTGTTTCTTGAATTTTTCGTCTCTTAAATTTTTCATTTCTTCAGCGTTTCAATTCTCCATCTTTTTATTATTCAATTTTTGATTTATTGAATTTTTAAACTTTCGGTCTTTGAATTTTCAATTTTTTTGGTTTTTCAATTCCACCTTCTTTTCGATTTTCCATACTTCAATTTTGTAATCTTTCCATTTTTCAGTTTTTTCCGTCCTTTGTATTTTTCAGTGGTTCATTGCGCCTTTTTTGGATTTTCAGATTCTCGATTTTTTTTCGATATTCCATCTTTTCAATTTTTGGAATTTGCGTTTCTTGAATTTTTAGTCTCTTGCATTTTTTCATTTCTTCAACATTTCGATTCTTCATTTTTTCATTATTCAGTTCTGCGTTTCTTCAATTTTTCAATTTTTAATTTCTTCATTTGGATTTCCATTCTTCAATGTTGTCGATTTTAGAATTTTTCCATTTTTCAGTGTTTTCATCTTCTGACTTTTTCAATGTTTCGTTGCGCCTTTTTTTGATTTTTCAGATTGTCTTTTTTTTAGATTTTTCATCTTTTCAATTTTTCCAATTTTTGTTTCTTGAATTTTTCGTCTCTTGAATTTTTCCTTTCTTCAGCGTTTCAATTCTCCACCTTTTTATTATTCAATTTTTGGTTTATTCAATTTTTCAACTTTCGGCCTTTGAATTTTCAATTTTTTTGGTTTTTCAATTTCCCCTTTCTTCTTTTCGATTTTCCATTCTTCAATTTTCTCGATTTTACAATCTTTCCATTTTTCAGTTTTTTCCGTCCTTTGTCTTTTTCAGTGGTTCATTGCGCCTTTTTTGTATTTTCAGATTCTCGATTTTTTTCGATATTTCAATTTTTGGAATTTGCGTTTCTTGAATTTTTCGTCTCTTGCATTTTTCATTTCTTCAACGTTTCGATTCTTCATTTTTTCATTATTCAGTTCTTCGTTTCTTCAGTTTTTCGATTTTTTGTCTTTTAAATTTTCAGTTTGTTCAGTTTTTCAATTTTCCATTTCTTCATTTGGATTTCCATTCTTCAATTTTGTCAATTTTAGAACCTTTCCATTTTTCAGTTTTTTCATCTTCTGACTTTTTCAATGTTTCGTTGCGCCTTTTTTTGATTTTTCAGATTCTCTTTTTTTTTAGATTTTTCATCTTTTCAATTTTTCCAATTTTTGTTTCTTGAATTTTTCCTCTCTTGAATTTTTCATTTCTTCAGCGTTTCAATTCTCCATCGTTTTATTATTCAATTTTTGGTTTATTGAATGTTTCAACTTTCGGCCTTTGAATTTTCAATTTTTTTGGTCTTTCAATTTTCCCTTTCTTCTTTTCGATTTTCCATTCTTCAATTTTCTCGATTTTACAATCTTTCCATTTTTCAGTTTTTTTCGTCCTTTGTCTTTTTCAGTGGTTCATTGCGCCTTTTTTGGATTTTCAGATTCTCGATTTTTTTCGATATTCCATCTTTTCAATTTTTAGAATTTGCCTTTCTTGATTTTTTCGTCTCTTGCATTTTTCATTTCTTCAACGTTTCGAATCTTCATTTTTTCATTATTCAGTTCTTCGTTTCTTCAATTTTTCGATTTTTTGTCTTTTAAATTTTCAATTTTTTCAGTTTTTTTCAATTTTCCATTTCATTTGGATTTCCATTCTTCAATTTTGTCGATTTTAGAATCTTTCCATTTTTCAGTTTTTTCATCTTCTGAGTTTTTCAATGTTTCGTTGCGCCTTTTTTTGATTTTTCAGATTCTCTTTTTTTAGAGTTTTCATCTTTTCAATTTTTCCAATTTTTGTTTCTTGAACTTTTCGTCTCTTGAATTTTTCATTTCTTCAGCGTTTCATTTCTCCATGTTTTTATTATTCAATTTTTGGTTTATTGAATTTTTCAACTTTCGGCCTTTGAATTTTCAATTTTGTCGATTTTACAATCTTTCCATTTTTTGTCCTTTGTATTTTCAGTGGTTCATTGCAAATTGAAGAATCCAAAAAAAAATCAAAAATTTCCAAAGTTGAAAAACAAAAAATTCAAAAATTCAAAAATTTGAAAATTCAAAAATTTTAATTTCGAAACTCGAAAAATTGAACAAGAAACTGGAAGATCGAAAAATTAAGAAATCAAGAAAACGAAATTTGAAAAATCGAATATATGAAAAATCTGAAAATTGCAAAAATGAAAAATTACAAAATCGAAACATTAATAGTTCAAAAACTACAAAATTTTGGGAGTGACATATACAAAAAAATGTAGATCTAAAAATTAAAAATCCAAAAGAAT